AGCCAGCTCCGCGCGCCGCGCCAGCAGGTCCCGGGACGCGCCGACCTCCCCCGGGCTCCGAGCGCGATTTGCTGGCAGAGCCGGCGGGCGCCGGGTCGCAGCCTACTCACTTGTGTCTTCTTCATAAGGAAAGGCAGCGCTGCGATCCAGCCCAGGCAGCGGTGTGGCGACTCCGTTTAGATGTTCTGGAGCTCCAGCATATTGCACGGGCAGCGGCGGCAGATAGTCCACGCATTGGGTAGCCCGAGCGCAGTGCCCTCTCCACGGCCCGTGACTCCCACGGCGTTCCCAGTCCCGGCGCGAGGCGGCGAGTGAAGCCCGGCCAGCCCACCGCCAGCGCTTTTATATAGATCCCGCCCGCCCGCCTGCTCCGGACACGCCTCCTTCCCTTCCGGAGCCCTCAGGAGGCCAGACCCGAGCCGGGGTGCCGCGGGGAGAGCGGGAGGGCGCCGGGAGCTTGGTGAAGGCCCGGGAAGTTGGAAGTGGCTCAGCGCATCCCCTCGCCAAGGGCCCCCGGGAGCGCCGTAGCTGCAAGGCTCGGGGGCGCAAGGGTGCCCAAGGCGAAGCTTAGCAACCTGCAGCCGCTGCTCTGGCTGCGCGCGGAGCACGGCGAGTCCCAGGTCGGCCTGCCCGCCCCGCCGGGGCTCACCTGGCAGCGCCCAGGGACCCGCGAAACACCTCGGGCGCTGCGCTGCCTGCCCCGAGCTCCTTCTTTCCTGCGGAGGCGGTGCGGGAGAGGAACTCACTCGGTGCCAAGCGTTCACCCGCCAAGCCTCAGGGGGAAGGAAAAAAGTTTAATTCGAATCAAGAGTTAGACCATTGTCTTCCTTCCCTGCATTCCCCCCCCCCGCCCCAAACAATCACATTAGTGAAAAGATAATAATTAAAGGAATTGTTGACTCGAGGTTAAATACTGCTGAGGGAGAGGCTATTTTTCAGAATGATTCGCTGCAGTGTATTTAGAAATTCACAGTGAGAGGCGATAGATTATCAAGCATGCCAACATGGCGAGGGATTTTGAAAGCTGTGCTTTGCAAAAAGAAAGTCAGAAATGCGAAAATAGTAATATCCAATACCACTGTGTGGTGCATTTGATTATATACTAGATAACATGCTAAGAATTTTATATCTTTTTATATAAATTATCTCATTAAAGTTGTCTCACACAAGTAAGTATAGGTCCTATAAATTTCACTCCTGTTCTTATGAATGCTTAAAACCCATTGCTGTGGAATCATTCCAATTCATATATAACAATCCTATGAGAAAGATAGGACAAGGTGGAATTGCCCCATTTCCAAGGCTAGAATATTTAAGGAATAGATTGCCATGTTTTCTCAAAAAAGCTGCTGGTGGATTCACACCAGGGAACCTTTGAAAAGCAACTTTGTGTTTTATTCACTTTGCTACCAGGGCTTCTTCCAGATGCTTATAGCCCAACCAGCTAGTTGAGAAGATTCTCATTCATGGCAACCCTCCCGTGGATTTTTGCAGCTATAAATTTTTACTGAAAGAGATTGTTCCTCTTTCTTCAGAAAAGTGGCAGAAGAATTTGAGGGGCAGGTTGATGGTCAGCCTCTACTTTTATTTCAGAGGTCTGGAAACATGGCTTTACAAAACGTGTACTTAATACAACTGGTTTGCTGACTTTACAAAATTATCCTGTATTTATTGTTGCTGTTTATTCCTGTCGAGTCAAGCACAACTCATAGTGACCCTATGAGCAAAAGGCCTGAAGTCATTCTACAACTATCAACATTTATCAAAGTTCATAGAGTTTCCAGAGGCATGTTATTTAGGAAGTGGATGCAGCTCCTGCTTCTACGCCTGTCTTAAACTGGGAGCTCCACCAAACACTGTCCACCACGGGCAACCGTTATGACATTTGACACCCCAATGGCACAAGGTTCAGCATCACAGCAACCGGAGGTTATCTCAGTACAGCAAATTGACACACCAGTGCTGTACCACTTAGAAGAATGTTTCTTCTCTCTAGTCTACCTTAATTTGGGTGCTCAGCTTTTGAGGAGTATTTGACAAGCATTTTATCCAAAAGAGCTGATGAGAGTATGTAGGTAACAACAGATCAAGTTAGGGTTAGGGGCCCACCCCATCCACACATGTGTTTTGTTCCCACCCTCACCCCACCCTGTCAGCATCCAGCTCAATTCCTTCTCCCTGCCCCTCGAGCATCTCCCACTTCCTGCCCCCAACCAGTTCTGGTTTGATGGCTCAAGTCACAAATTCTAAAGATTAATAGTGTACAGATTTCACTGGAATGGCACATTTCAAATGCTTACTTGATTTTTACCAGAATTTTTTTTCAGGTTTTGTCCCCACAATCCTTCACTAATAAGGAATTTGAGCAATTAAGACAAAGCACATAATTTCAACTCTGTCTTATGATAAAGTTATATGTATTTATTCTTTGGATAAGCAGAAGTCAATAATATGGTACTAAAATTATCTTTAACAACCTAATTCTGTGTAAGAAAATATCAACAGAGAAAAAGAAAAGCTATATGCCTTTTTTAAAAAAAGCTATGCTTTTAAAAAAGAAAAAGTTCTGCATTTTGTTTTAATCATTCCTTTGAAATGTCTAATACTTATATCATGAGTCTGAAATCAACTTCAAAGGGAAAAATTAGTAAAACATTAAGTATAAGATAAAGTTGTTAGTACTCTGCCTTGTACTGTAATTCTCTCTTCAACTATTTTCACCATATTGGCTGCTACTTAAATAAAATATATGACCAGATTTTAAATAAATGGCTAGATTCTGCATCTTCAGAATTTAGATAGTATACAGAATTCATTCTGAAAAACATGTTAAAAGCATTTCAAATTGATTTTAAAAAGAAACTGTTAATGTCAATACTTCTTCGGAGCAAAACTGATAGGTGCATAAATTGAAGAATAAAAATCAATCACATGACTCACAGAGATCCCCTGTGCACCTGTGTAGAACTGTGCTTTGGAGAGCTTTCAATTACTCTGTAGAGTTTCTTTGCCTTTTGTCTTTGTCTTTATGGCCTCTTTTGTTTTAAAGGAGATCTCTAGGTCTTTCTTCCATGTTACCTCTGGGCAGATACAAACCTCTAACATTTCACCTGGTGAGTTTGCACCACCTGAAATTTAGGAATTAGGCATTTTAATTAAAGGCTTGGCTTATGGTTTTGCTTTCTTTTAGTTCAGTGGGATTTGCGGGGGGGGGGGGGTTGGTTGTGCTAAAAAATGAATATGCCAAACAATCCTGAGTGAAGAGGAAATAATAAATCCAGGGGTTTATTGTATTCGTTTTCTTTTGCTGTTGTAACGAATCACCACACATTTCATGGTTTAAAACAATGTAAATGTATCATCCTACAGCATGGTCTTCAGGTGGCCTGAAGTTTGGTGGTGCTCAAGTCCAGGTTACTGGTGAGCTCCGCTGTGTTCTCTCCCAGAGACTCTAGGGGAGAGTGTTTTCCTGCCTTCTCTTGATCCTCAAGGCTATCTGCTTTCCTTAGTTTGTGGCCCCCTTCTGCCTGCAGATTCAGCCTTCATGGCTCTAGTTCTTTTTTCCATTGATTTACTCCAATTTTTCCTTTTGCCTCCTCCTCCACTTTTAAGGGCCTTTGCAATTAAATCAGACCCACCTGGATAATCCAGGATAATCTCCTTACTTTAATATTGCTGATTAGCAACCTTAATTCCATCTGAAATTTTAATTCCCCTTTGGCATGTAACTGTCAAGCAATGTAACAAATTCACACATTCCAGGGATTAGAACATACACATCTTTATAAGAACCATTATTCTACCTACCACATACAAAAGTTTGGGGAGAACCAAGGGGAAAGTTTAGCTTCCATATCTCTCTATGCTTCCCTTCACCAAGTGCTTCCCTGCAAGTGGCTTCAGAGCTCCCTGCTAGAACACCTCCCACTCTATAGTTATAAAAATAAATACTGCTGGAGAAAGTGCTGTTACACTGTAGAGATTGTAACCAATGTCACAAAACACAAAGCATAATAATTGTTGAATGGAAAACCAAATTGCACTGCAAAGTTTCATTCAAATTCCAATAAAAGTTAATTTAAACAAAGAAATCTTGGAGAAAACAATTTTTTCTTTAAAAAAAAAAGTCTAGAGTATTAAATAATTGCTTTTACTTTCAACTGTAAGATTCTTGCAAAGCATTTTAAGCCAAAGTGGAAAGCAGTAGCAAATATGACAGTATTGGAAAATCATTCAACTCTAATGACTCCTCCCTGGTAATCCCAACCTTAATGCAACTAGCCCTTAGGTGCAATGTTGCTTTGCCAAAATCTTCCAAATAGCTGCATATATATTATGCACAAAGGACTTTCATTAGAGAAATGTATCATTGCAGCCTGTCTGATGGGAAGGAAAATGAATTTGGTGAAGTTTGGTTGAAGACAGAGAACTGTGGCTCATCCCATGATAGTGCCTGAAATAAAAAGCTCCTGTTAGTCAGATGACACAACCTTGCTCTCTGAAAGTAAGGAGGACTTGAAACATTTGCTGCAAAAGATCAAAGACTACAGTCTTCAATGTGTGTTCATTCTTAACATCAATAAAACAAAAATCGACAAATAGGTAAATAGTCAACATCATGATAGATGGAGAAAAGATAGAAATTGTCAATGACTAACAGTCAACACCCTTGGCACCAGCCACTAGGAAATAAAAAGATGTGTTACACTGGGAAAGTTTACTGTCAAGGACATCTCCAAGGTGCTAAGGAACAAACACATCAGTTTTTGAAGTCTAAGGTGTTCCTGATTCAAACAATGATCTTTTCAATCACTTGCTACTCATCTGAAAGTTAAAGGATGAATAAGAATGGCAAAAGTAGAATTTGATGCCTTTGAGGTGTGGTGCTGGAGGGAGAAGGGTGTGGAATATTCCATTTGGCCTGCTAAACTCAAGTATGTCCAAGGTGCTCCTTGGAGACAAAGATAGTGAAACTTAGTCTCACACACCTTGGGCATGTTGTTAATTAAGACAGGACAGTCTTCGGAGAAGGATATCATGTTTGGAAGAGAAGTTGGTCAGTGAAAGAGGGGAAAACCCTCAATGAAATCGCCTGACACAGTGATTGGGCTGGAGTGTGTCAGAGATTATGAGGCTGTCACAGGATAGGGTGGAGTTCAGACCTATTGTTCTTAGGGTCCTATGAGTCATAGCGGACTCCACAGCATGTATCAACAACAAAGACTGTGGCTTATCCCATGATATTGCCTGCAAGAAAATATTTTGTAGTGTGCCATGCACAACTATAAAGACGGTAAAGATCATTTTAGTTGGCAT